CCTGAAGCCGAGCGGTGTCTGCCTGTCCCCTGTCTCGCAGTGGTCTGCGCGCAGGGCCTGCAGGCGAAGGACAAGACGGGCTCCAGCGACCCCTACGTCACAGTCCAGGTTGGAAAGACCAAGAAGCGGACGAAAACCATCTACGGGAACCTCAACCCCGTGTGGGAGGAGAACTTCCACTTGTGAGTGGGGCGGCCGACCCGGGGCTCCCCGCTGCAGGGGCTCCCAGACGCCCGGCCGTGACCCGCCCTCCTCCACAGCGAGTGCCACAACTCCTCTGACCGCATCAAGGTGCGCGTCTGGGACGAGGACGATGACATCAAGTCCCGCGTGAAGCAGAGGTTCAAGCGGGAATCCGATGACTTCCTGGGGCAGACGATCATCGAGGTGCGGACGCTCAGCGGCGAGATGGACGTGTGGTACAACCTGGGTGAGACGGGAGCTCCGGGGCGGGCTGCAGGGGGGGCGGGGGCGGGGCCAGCCGGCCCGGGGGCCGTCCAGAGGGGAGACACGTTCTCACAGAGGAGTTTGGCTGAGGAGCCTCGTCTGATGGGGGAGGCAGGGGCACAAGCCGTGTCTGGTGGGGCAGGCAGCACCCCTGCTGAGAGGGCCAGCAACATCCAGGAACCTCTTGGTTCGGTTTGAGGCGCAGGGACAGAATCTCCACATCCCAGTGTCCCCGGGAGGCCGAAAGCAAGGCCTGGGGATCCTGGTCTGAGGAGAGAGGCACAGACCCGGGAATTCAACCTAAGAGAGAAGATTGACCTTTAAGAATCCAGTCTGGGTCTGGCGTGGTGGCTCATGCCTGTAATCCCGACACGTCAGAAAGTCAAGGCAAGAAGATTTCTTGAGTCCGAGAGTTTGAGGTCAGCCTGAACCGCATAACAAAATCCTGTCTGTACAAAAAAAATTTTTTTGTAATGATCCAGGTGTGGTAGCACCTGGAATCCCAGCTTCTTGGGAGGCTGAGGAGGAAGGCTCACTTGAGCCCAGGAGTTGGAGGCCACGGCCAGCACTCCAGCCTGGGCAACAGAGTGAGACTCTGGCTCAAAAAACTAGTCTGAGGAGACAGACCCGGAGCCCTGTCTAAGACGAGTGCATCTGGGGAGTGTGATCTGACGGGGAGGCAGGACCTGATCTGATGAGGGAGCTCAGTCTGGCGAAGAAACAGGCTGTGAGTCTGAGGAGGGAGGCACAGATTAAAGCACTCAACCTGCGTGAGGAAGCAGGGTCTGGGATGCTGGTTCGAAGGGAGAGACAAGGTCGAAGAGACTCTAGTCTGAGAGGGGAGACGCCAACCTAGAGAGCCCATGTGAAGAGAAACCCCCAGGCTTCGGTTTCGGGGCGTGTCGGAGGCCTGCAAGGCTGTGTCTATGTCGGGATCGCCCAGGGCGGTCCCGGAAAGTTCTGATGCCTCCTCCCTTTCTGCCCTGCAGACAAGAGAACAGACAAATCTGCCGTGTCGGGCGCCATCCGGCTCCACATCAGTGTGGAGATCAAAGGCGAGGAGAAGGTGGCTCCCTACCATGTCCAGTACACCTGTCTGCATGAGGTGAGATCCCTGCCTGGCCCCTCCCTCCCCGCCCCGGTCCTCAGTCCTGCCAGCCCCAGCTCCTGGTCCTTGTCCCAGCCATACGATCCACGCTGCCCCGGGCCTCTGCCGCTGCCCCCGCGCCACTCCCTTCACCTGGAAAACTGTGCATCAAGGTTCAGCTTCAGGGCCCCCTCCTCTGGGAAGCCCCCCGTGACCTCCAGGTCGACTCTTGCTCCTCGTCTCCCGGAGCTTTTTCTAGCCCAGCTCTCGACACTCAGGATGGGCTGTTTTTGTTGGAGAGATCCCCATGGCTGCATCTGTTGAATGAATGCTGGTGAATGAATAACCGATTGGATGGACGAGTGACTGATGAGTGGATGGAAGGATGGATGAAGAGGTGGGTGAGTGGATGGGTGGGCAGACAGGTGAGCAGGCGAGTGCATGCATGACGAGACGGCTGACGGGTGGATGGACAGAGAGCGGCGTGGTGGAGCTCCTGCGCGTGTAGGTGGGTAGATGGGTACGTTTAGAGGTCGGAGGACAGATGGCGGGTAAGCAGGTGGGTAAAGATGAATGGTGGGGAGCTGGATGCGCTGACGGGTGGATGGATTGGTGGGTGGATGGTTGAGTGGGCGGGTCGGCTACTTGTTGCTGGGTGGACAGCTTGAGTTGTGGGTAGGTGGGGGGATGGATGTGTGGCCGACTTACCAGAAGGAGAGGTGAGCAGACAGATGAGGGAGTTTTTGGGTAGTTGGATGGATGAGTAGATGGGTGAGTGGATGAGAGGACAGGCAGGCAGCTAGAGGCGGGCGGGTGGGTGGTGGGAAGGGTAGACTGAAGGGTCGGTGGGTGGATGGACCGATGACCTGTGGTCGAATTGGTGGAAGCACAGATGAGTGGGTGCATGCGTTTTGGAGCAGTTGGATGGGTGGGTGAGTCGACGGGTGGGCGGGCGAATGGCTGGATGGGTGGGCGGATGGCTGGGTGGGTGAGTCGATGGGTGGACAGGTGGACGATGAACGGGTGGATGAGTCGACAGGTGGAAGATGGGTGGGTGGTTGGGTGGGTGGGTGGATGGATGGGTGAGTCGGCGGGTGGACGGAGGGATGGATGGGTGGGTGGGTGAGTCGGTGGGTGGACGGAGGGACGACAGATGGATACATAGGTGGGTGGGTAGGTGGACAGATGGATGGATGGATGCATGCTGCGTGGGTGAGTGGACGGATGCACAGACTGATGGGAGGATGCGTGGCTGACTGCGGAAGGCTGAATTGTCGGGGAGACATGCTGCATTGTGGGTGATGAAGGGGATGGATGTGCGCTTGAGGCACTGAAAGGACAGGTGGCTGGAGAGGTGGATTTGGGGGTAATGGGGGGGTAAGTGGGTGAGAGGATGGATGGACAGAAGCACCGGCGGGTGGGTGGACAGAGCCGTGGACAGGCAAATGGAGGCAAGCGTGACTCGCCGGGCAGAATTCCGCGAGAGAAACTTCGGGTCCGTGGGTGGACGAAGGGTAGGTGAGTGGACGGACAGACGGAACTGTGGCTGAGGCAGTGAAGTGCGGGCGGGTGGACGCGTGCATTCTGCAGCAGCTGGGTGGGTGGCTGCGCGAGCTGATGCCCTGGCGCCCCGGAGGGGCCGGCGGATGACGCGCGGCTGGGCGGGCGGACGGACAGACGACGGGCGGATGGACGTGGACCTGCACGGAAGGACAGAC